AAAACCAACCCAAGTATAAAAATTGTTTACAAAATCATCCAAGACCAATATAGTTCACAAATTTTTTTCAAAATAAATCCATATCAGAGTTTTCCCATAAATCAAAATCACAAATCAAGGAAGTGTATGATCATGCCTTCGCCTTCCCACGGTCATGTAAAGTACCTGAAACAATAATCGATAAATGTAAGCTCACAGGTTTAGTGAGTTACCCCCAAAATACCAACACCATACAAACCAGAACAATATCATAATAAACAGTATGCATACTGAGCCATCAGTCTGACTGGACCGCCTCGCAGGGCCTGCAGTGACTGGACCGCTCCCGAGCCTTCGGCATGTCTGGTCCTCCTCGAAGGGACTACTGCCTGTCCGGACCGCTCATTGGGCCTTCGACATAACTGGTCCGCCTCGTAGGGCCTTTAGTTTATCCGGATCGGTGTGGGTATGTTGACCTTTAACACAAAGCAGGACCGCCTCAACCTAACCATACACACATATGTCGACATACTCATAACACATAACCAATCAACAACAAGCACAGATCACTAAGCATAGCATCATCCTATCTACCAGGATACCGATCTAACAGATCATAATAGCATAACAACATCCTATCTACCAGATACCGATCTAACAGATGATAACTGCAGGCAAGCATACTATAACTAGGATAACAATCCAAAGGGTCGGCCTAGGTGTCGTAGACCCTGTCAGTATAGTGAGGAGAACTCACCTCACAAGTAGCACAATACGTAATCTCAAATTCCTGAAACACAGCTACAAGCTCCAACACCTATAACCACCATAGGACCAGCTCTCTCAAGACTCAAATTACCAAATTGTCCTCAGAAGTCAACCTGGTCAACCCTTGGTCAAAGTCAAAGTCAACAGTCAACAATCCATGTTGACCCAACTCGTCGAGTACAACTACTGACTCGTCGAGTTCCTTCAAATCCAGAGAACCTGCTAAAACCTGAGTCAACTCGCCGAGTTGGCTATCCAACTCGTCGAGTTCATGCAGAATCCAAAAAACGGGAAAACCCGTCTCAACTCGTCGAGTTCATGCTGTCCATTTCTCATCCAGACACTTTTAAGTTGAAGTAAGGCTCCAAACTATAGATCTAACTTCCTAGAGCATAGTTACCACATAAAGTTGCAAGCTTTACGTGCATGCATGGTCTTAAACGCCAAAACCAAGCTAAGGAAGAGGTTTAAGGTATAGAGAAGTGCCAAGGCTTGGTAAATTTGATAACTTTATGACAATAAGGGCTTAGAGGAGTCCAGATCTGAACTCATCACTCCAAGATGTGCTCAAAACTAGAAAAACTTCAAGGTTAAGCTAGAAATGGCCCAAAACTCTTAAATGAATAGATCTAGCTAGGAAATGGTCAAGGTAACGACTTGTTACCTTGAAGATGATGCCAAGATGAAGTAGAAACCGGATCTACAAGCTTCTCCTTGCTCCAAGCTCCTTAGCCTTCAAGTTTCTTTCACTAAAACCACCTTCCAAGCTTCTTAACACACAAAATGAAGAGTAAGACGCGATTAGGGTTTTCTGAGGTCAAAGGGGACGTTAAGGGAGGCAGAGGGTTGCTAATGAGTCTTTAAATAGGGTGCAAAACCTTGAAAATTAGGGTTTCATATTCCAGCTCCAACTAGCCGAGTTTTGCCTCACAACTCGACGAGTAGAGAATTTTCTACACGTCGAGTTGAGGCCATCAGCTCGACGAGTTCCAAGTCAAAATGTCATTTTTAGATAAAATTCTTATACATGGGAGTCGGGATGTTACACAACTCAACGAGTTGGATCGGGTTTTTCCCGCTTTCTGTTTACTGAAGGAACTCGATGAGTTGTTCTACTAACTCGGCGAGTTGGCTAGGGTTTTTCCTGGTTTTCTGAACACTGAAGGAACTCGACGAATTGCTAGATGCACTCGACGTGTTGGGTCAACATGGACTGTTGACCTTGACTTTGACCATGGTTGACCAAGTTTGACTTCTGAGGGTATTTTGGTAATTCAGAATTTTAATGAAGTGAGTCACATGGTGGTTGTAGGCAGTCGAGATCGGAGCTGAGAGTCGGAATTTAATCTTCTTGATTCAACACTACTTGTGAGGTGAGTTTTCCTCACTATAATCAAGAGGCACCAAGGCCGACCCTTTGGATTGTTAACCTGATTTATTTATGTTGTGATCTGTTAGATCAGCATCCTGGTATATAAAATGTTTCTATGTTGTTATGATCTGTTAGATCGGTATCCTGGTATATAGGATGTTTCTATGTTGTTATGATATGTTAGATCGGTATCCTGGTAGATAGGATGTTTCTATGCTTAGTGAAATGTAGATCGGTTTGACTGTCTGTAGACTGTTATGTGATTATCTGATATATGTGCATATGTGTGATTGGTGGTTGAGGCTTTTCTGCTTTGTGCATGAGCCAACAGACCGCGACATTCCAACCCGATGGTTGAGGGCCGAGAGTATTCCATCGCGAGGATGATTGCACTCATAGTATGTGGGCATTCCAACCCGATGGTTGAGGGCCGGGAGTATTCTATCCTGAGGATGATTGGACTCATAGTATGTAGGCATTCTGACCCGATGGTTCAGGGCCTAGAGTATTCAATCCTGAGGATGATTGGACTTATAGTATGTGGGCATTCAAACCCGATGGTTAAGGGCCGATGGTATACCATCCCGAGGATGATTGGACCCATAGTACGTTGGCATTCCAACCCGATGGTTGATTGGGCTTATAGTATGCTATTATTATATGTGTGTTATTGTTGTGCAAGTATTTTGGGGGAACTCACTAAGCTTCGTGCTTACAGTTTTGGATTTTGTTTCAGGTACATCAGATGATCGCGGGAAGGTGAAGGCTTGATCGCGCACCTTCTCGTTTTTCATGTTGTGATTTCTGGGATTCTCTGATGTTAAAACTATTTTGAAAACAATTTGCAATAAACTGTGGTTTTGGAATATCTTAAAAAGTTTAAAATTTTTGTGAATTTTACGGATGTTTCAAAACTTTTCCACACTAACATCCTTCTTTGTCTTCATTCGGCATCTGAGTTTCCATATGATACAAAAGATTATCACAACCAACATTATCAAAAATCCTACACAAATAGCTGCATCAAAAAATGAACTAGAACGTCTTTAAATAATGTTTATTAAAATTGAAAATGTAAATTGAGGAAACAAAAAGTTGTGTAAAAATGCATGACTTGCAAAATCTCCTATGAATATTTAAAAATAACTTAAAATAACATAATTAATACATGCAACATAATTTAGGTCATTGAGTGATGTGTATGAATGCTTCCTATGGTGTTATGCATTCGTTAAGCATCTTTAAAATATATATATCAATGACTTAACCTATTACTTATTTTGAATATGAAGTAAATGAAGGAATTAGGTTAAGGTAATATATGTCCTGCTATGTCTTCAACTATGTCTTCAACTAACCTTTCTTCCTTGATTTTTATCTTCTTGTACTACCTCCTCCTTTATTGTATTTTTTTCCTCTGTCTGATAAACTCAAACGACTATTTTATGTTTATCTGGCTATTCATCTACACATATCCTCGCCAAGGATTAAAAACGTGAATGCCTTCAAATTTTAGGTTAGCACTTCCCGTGTAACTGCTAACTATCGTCACTATACTGGACCATCTATCATGCAAAGAGGATAATAGTAGCGACGCTTGGACTTCATCCTAGCATCTAATATAACCTGAAATCAACGTTGAGATGATTGAACTGAATTCATTAACATGATCAGTAACCAAGCTACCCTCATTCATCTTCCCATTTACCAATTGTCGGATTAAGAACACCTTATACATTGTTGATGGTTTTTCATAAATATCGGATAACACCCTAATCAGGTTGCATGTAGTCTTCTCATTGACAATATTGTAAGATACGTTCTTCTCAAATTATAATATTACCACGCCAGAAGCCTACCGATCTAGTAGATTCAAGTCATCCTGCTTGAACACTTCAGGTTTCTTTTCGACCAAGGTTTCATGTAATTTCTTTTGTAAATGTAATCCTTGATCTGCATTCTTCAGAACCTGAAATTGTGACCTTCAAACTTTCCAATCTTAAGCTTCTCATCTTTACCCATAGTTCTGACTTCAGTTGTTAGAAATAGAACACTTCGACAAACGACAAACGATTTCATAAAAAATGTAATAATGCAGAATGATAAAGAGAACAAAATATTTATTTGGTTCACACAATCAGGATGATCAGCTACGTCCACATCCACAGGCGAGCATAACAGAGTTTTATTATTTCTACCAAACAACTTGAGTATGATACATTAGGTTATACGAATTCAATGAGTATAAATACTAGCAAGTTGACCTAAAGTTGTCAATAAGGTCAAGTCTTAAACATTGACAACTCTAGCCCATGACGAAATTTAGTGTCACATGTAATATAGGACCTCATGTTTGGTCTACACACGGACTATATGGTCAAAGGGTGAATCAATCTCCATGAACTAACACACACAAACAAGTTATCTTAACGATTAGTTATATTAAAAATTAAAAACAAGAATAATAAAGATTTAAGTGCTTCACATGTTGAGAGTAATCAAGCTACAGTCCCTTGTAGAACCAAAGAGAGTTTTTATTAAAAATCTTCGCTTTCATACTCAACTACCAACAATCCTCAAAGACCGACGCCTCTCCTCATGGCGGAAACATCTATCCTGGAACCTCTCTTTTCTTTTAACTTAGATTAGTATCCACGTCTGCATTAAACTATAAAAATTAAAACAAAAGAAACTCGATTATTTAATTTCATCTTATTTATGCCTAAAATTAAGAAATATAGATATACATTTACAACGACCGGATTCAAGTCTTCGCGGTCGTCGTCAACAGTACACTTTTTTGTTATCATATTGTCGTCTTCGTCCCGTGAAGCAAAACAATAATTATTCCATTCGAAACAGTAATCATCAACTTGCCTCAATGACGTCCATCCTGTGTTTCTTTCTTCTCGTCCTTTTCTCTTCACTGTCACTTGCTTCCTCACAGTATGTCTTACCGGACCACTACTTCATCAACTGTGGATCGAACTCTGATATTGATTTCACCAACCGGAAATTCCTCGGCGACGTCAACCCCTCAACTTTCTCCATCTCCGGTGGCCATGTCGCCGCAGAAAGCAACAACCCGGCAACCGACACACCGGTTATCTACAGAACAGCAAGAGTCTTCACTAAGAAATCATGGTACGAACTTGAAGCAGATGAAATCAACACTTTCGTCATGGTACGCCTTCATTTTTCCCGATTCTCTACTAATGGATTCGAATTTTCCAACTCGAAACTCGACGTTTCTGTCTCCGGGTTCTCTCTGTTGTCCGGTTTTAGCACCGGAAACTCGACTGTGATTAGAGAATTTATATTCCCGATTGGGTCTGAACGAAGGTTTAGAATTGAATTTACACCATCCCGTGGATCGTCTTCTGCGTTTGTAAATGCCATTGAAGCTTTCACGACACCATCGAATCTATTCAGGCCCGCCTCCAGTTTCCCACGTATTTCACCCGCCGGAAAACTTGCTGATCTGGAGAAGTTAACATCGGATTATGCTTTCAACCCAATCCACAGAGTTAACGTTGGAGGACAAACGATCAACGTAGATCGTGACACCTTAAGAAGAACATGGACACCTGATAATTCCTTCATCTTCAACAATGGACCAGCAAGAAACGTCACTTTTGATGGCCGGATTAATTATGTAGACGGTGGAGCAAGCTCCTCCGATGCTCCTGATGATGTTTACAAAACCGCCAAACAATTAAACAACAGTTTGGTAAACATTACTTGGAATTTCAACGTCAATAAGAATGCCATGTATCTGGTTCGAGCTCATTTCTGTGACATTATAAGCACATCCCTCGTCGATCCCAACGACGCCTTCAACTTCTTTGTCTACAGCCACCACAAGGAGGAGATTCAACCGGGTAACACAGTGGATGCGTTACAAGCTCCGTTTTATCTTGATTTGGTGGTGGAGTCCACTGATTCAGATCGTTTGAATATCAGTATTGGCGCAATTCGTGGTAACAATCAGCCGGTGTTCTTGAACGGAGTCGAGATCATGGAGATGTTGAAAAACTCCGGTGTGCGTGATCCAGTCAACGGGAAAAAGGGAAAGAGTGTATTCATCGTGGTTGGATGTGTTCTTGCAGGTGTAGCTTTTCTACTGGTTTTGTTAGCAGGTTTCTTCATCGGATCAAGATGTGGGAAACGAAAGCAGGTGGTGGTCGGAGCAAAATCAGAGTCTCACGTGGTTCCATCATATGGCCGGAGTACTTCATACAACAGTATAATCGGTGACTTCACAGTCAACAATCCATCACCAGTACTAGACCTCAATCTTAGGGTCCCATTTGCCGACATAGTACAAGCAACAACTAATTTCGATGAAAATTTAATGATTGGTCGAGGAGGTTTCGGGAAGGTGTACAAAGGAACACTTCATGGAACCAAAGTGGCGGTCAAACGAGGCGAACAAGGTCACGGTCAAGGCCGGCCGGAATTCGTGACGGAAATCATGGTGTTGTCAAAGATACGCCACAAACATTTGTTGTCTTTGATCGGTTATTGTGATGAAAATAACGAAATGATACTTGTGTATGAGTTTATGGAAAAGGGTACTCTTCAAGATCATCTGTATGATTCAGATCTCCCAAGACTCTTGTGGGAACAGAGGATTGAGATTTGTATCAGTGCAGCCGGAGGGTTGAACTACCTTCACACGAGTTCAGAAGGTGGGATTATTCATCGTGATGTGAAATCAACGAACATTTTGTTAAACGAACGCTATGAAGCAAAAGTCGCCGATTTCGGGATATCACAGTTGGATAATGCGGACGAAGGTAAAATGTCGGATGTGAAAGGGAGTTTTGGGTATCTGGATCCTGAATACGTTAGTTGTATGAAACTGACACATAAATCAGATGTTTACTCATTCGGTGTGGTACTGCTTGAAGTGTTGTGTGCAAGGCCAGCTCTCGACAACGGACTTCCTGCAAAGGAAATGAATTTGGCTGATTGGGCGATTAAACAGATAAAAAATGGCAATCTTGAGAAAATAATCGATCCGTTTCTTGCGGGTAAGATTAATCAGAACTCGTTAAGGAAATTTGTGGAAATAACTGAGAGATGTTTAGAGGAAACGGGAGGCAAAAGGCCGAGTATGGATGATGTGTATTGGGATTTAAAATATGTGTTGACTTTGCAACTAATGTCAATGGACCAACAGCCATGTGATGATAGCACGATAAATATGTCATTTCAGTTGCCAAAATCGATAACTGATCGGTTGCCGTCTCGACATAATGATGATTCTGATGTGAATGATAGCTCGATTTTTAGTTATCCGAGTGAGAGCCAAGTGTTTTCGCAATTGAAGATCAATGAAGCTCGATAGGTTGTAATATTGTTTATTGATATATTGATTATATAATTTTGTATTTCTTTTGTGTACAATTATATAAGGGTTTGTATAAACATATTTTTGTCACGTGGGGAAAACAAAAATAGGGTCCTTAAGCTTAAATCACCAAAAAGTTATGGTTGAATTGTAAGGAGAGTGTGTGCTTGAGATTTGGGAATACAAACTTTGTTGATGCTTCCATATTTTCCCCTAAAATTACAAACTTCATGTTTTATTTTGGCAAAATTATAAACTTTAGACAAATTATAATGCAAAAGAATAATAGTGATTCAATAAGTTGCATATATTGAAGAAAAAAGAATAGACATAAACTCATATAATGTATTGCTTTATCACTTAAAGCTATGGCTTTTCTTCATCACCAAAGTCCCAAAGATAGTGCTAGCACACATGATGAACCTCCACGGCTCCACCTATGAAAATTAAAAAGCAACAACCTGATTGACACCAAAGTTAAAAAGATAAAGAGTATTATTTTAATGCAATCATTATTGGATAAAAAAAAAAAAAAAAAAAAAAAAAAAAAAAAAAAACTTAGGACGAAGATAAACATTACAAGGATACAAGGTTTATATTACCGCTATAAAATTAAATTAAATTATTTAAAAAAAACAATATTGATAAATCAAAAACATCAATTATTCAAATATTGGCAAAAAAAATATTAATTTACGAAGATAAAACAACTTTGGAAGTTAATAGGCGCAATGGTAATAAATAATAGATGCAAACCCATATACTAAAAGGTTGACAAAGTAAAATAACATGAATGAACGAAGGTTGATATACTTGGTTATTGAAAATCAAAATCCATAATTCAAGTTTAAAGAAAGTCACTAGGAATCAACCAAGTTTTCTCAAGTCCAAGGTACCCATTCCAATTGTTTTAGATAATTATAACAATTTAAACAAAATAATCTATCACTAAGGTTAGTAATTGCATCAAATTAATATAACATCACAAATTTGGTTTTATCTCTTTACGTAAGCTATAACTAAGTATATAATATATATTCTCAATTAAATGATTTATCTTTCGACATTATCCTTGTTTAGATCATTAAGAAAAATGTCAAATTAATAGTCATATTGTTTTGTTTGTCAAAATAATTTATGTATAAATAATATTTTAAAGAAATCATGAAATACAAATACAAAATCACAATAAAAGGGAATTCAAAGTAACGTGCTATTATATGTCCAAAAATGAAAGTATATTGCTATCATTTGTCATCAATGGTATGCTGCCAACAGTAGATTGCCATTATAACAACATACATAAAAGATATGCTGCCATTATAGCAACCAACTATCATTTCCTATGAAGATGAAATTTTAAGTTGTAAGATGAAATTTAAAGTTGTTTATCTTTTTGGAGAAGATGAGAGCAATTTAGTCATTTTTTGTAGACATTAAATTTTTTTATGAGAAATAAAAAATGGATTGTTATACCCCTGTCAAAATGACTGTTATACACTGCCACATATTACATTGCAATTTCTTGTGATTAGGGTGATTAGAGACTTCTAAAGTAAATATTCCAAAGTCCAAACTGATTCAAAGTACAATGTTTATATAAGAAAAAATGAAAATATTTTAGAAATAAAAAATTAAAATCACATACAATAACACACGCACATAGTTACTAAACTAATTTCAAAAATAAAATGTAAATTTAAAAAGTAAAGAAAATTAGGGAAAAATGAATGTTATACCCCTGCCACATATTACATCATCTATCCAGACACAACTTTTGTCAAAATTCTCCTTATTATATTCCCTTTTCTTGTATGCTTAACGAATTCCATTAATGAAGTTATATATTTAAATATAATAATAAGCAATTTATAAGGGTTGAAGAAATGGGTCTTGTGATTCTTCTATTTGGGCCACTTTTATTGATTTTGAAATTTGACGAAAGAGTTATGGAATAATATGATGTCTGCATCAATGTGGAATCAATGTCATCTACACTCCACCTAGCATCCTGTTAATAAGATCTATAAGTAATCTTAATACCCATTCAAAAAAAAAGTTTAATTTCACAAAACACTATTGTGTAAATGTAAACAATGTAATTTTGAAGATAAAGTTAAGGAATATTCTTGTTAAACCTCATCACCAAATGAATGTTTAAAGGTTTAAAAACTACAATTCGGTCTAATTGCAAAGAAATATGTGAACACAATATTGATTTTTTTAAATAAGGGTTAGGAGTTATAATACAAAATTACAATGTATTGAGAATGATTTAGAGAGTTTACAGTGTGTATACATGTCACTGACCATTCAAAAAGTATCCTTTTACTTTTTTCATAGAAACATATCAATATTACTCCAAGTGATTAGAAACACATCATGCCCTTTACAATACCTATCGGATTATAATCCACTGTTTAAAGCCATTTAAAACATTAAAATTTTATAGCATGTGCATAATCCACTGTTTCACGTTGATTGTGAAAGCATAATTGTAGCCATCACTTTCTTTTGGATTTGAATGCTTCAGACACTCTTAATCAAAGTTGTTCTTGGTGTGTGTACAAAGAGAATACAATTAAATTACATCTTATTAACCTATTGATCAAAATAATGGCAACAATCACATACCTGCATTGTTTTGTTAAGCAATGATCCATGTTTCAAATGAAGAAAAAAGGTGAGATTTATCAACTCCGCCCAAAATGTGACATAATCAGCGGAAAACACCCATCAAACCACGATCAAAATATTGACAAATAACATAATTGTTAAATTAATTAAATGAGAAGCCTGAACCTTCATAATATTTAAGGTATTTCAAATGGATTTCTAAACAAATTACTTGTCATCACTGCGGTAGGGTAGTTCTCCTTCAAATCTCATATTATTGTTCGAACACTCATATTGAATCCTAAAATCATAGGAATATATTGTAGAGAAATATGAAGGTGGCAGCTTCGTTGTCAACAAATTAAATATTAAAGCCAATAAGGGACACATAGTGTCATCATTGAGTCGGTGAGAGAGAAAAGATGAAGACGATGGACATATGGGCGTCTGGGAAATGAATCCTAAGTGAAATGAGAGACGCTAAGGTAAAGGAGATGATTAATTTTGTTGCATATGAATGTGCGTTCTAGGTATATACGAAATTGACAAAAGGCCGATTCAAATTTGGAGATTGAATCTTGATTAATGGTATTAGCATGTTGATTTATTGGTGATTGATTGATTGTTGATTTCTTGCTATTAGTGAAAGAAGTTTCAATTGTAGGAAATCAGGAATAAATTCAAGATAAGATTTTTTAAAATTATGGATTTTATGCACTGAAAAGAAGGAATATAGTATATGCTTGAAGGGAAATTTCTGAATTTCATTTAGAGAGATTGAGCGGGAAAATTCGATGGGAAGGGTGTTCAGTAGTTGCCACGTGGCAACTGGGTATTATTTTATTAGACATAATATATTCAAGGTCGGTCCTGATGATTCAAATGTCTAGGATAAACCGGGAAAAAGACCCCTAACTCTAACATATAAGGAATTAAAATATTGCTTTGTTAGAGCACTAACCTCAAATCAACGAAATCTTGATGTTCCTTTTAAGCAACATAAAGCTTTTCTTTCTTGTTTTTGTTTAAAAAATGGAATTTTAGTACATGAAAATATAATATTATTAGTATAGAAATCTATAAGAATTTATATTTATATTTATATTTATGCCCGATATGCAGTTTGAATTCAAATTGCAGCAAATTCTTTTTTTATTGTGCTTCGACCAATAACCCGAAAGGAATCTCAGCCCTTTATGTCGTTGGTGATTTTTGTATCCTATTTTGACTTTTTAAGGTCAAACATACGATGTTCAACTTCAAAATGCTTATGAAATCGTCTAAATTTTATGGTAATTTATATAAAAGTTCTTAAACTGGTAATGAACTTTTGAAGTTAGATATGTAGCAGGATCAAAATAAAGATGTAAATTGTGTAAATTTTGAAATTAGGGAGTGTATAGTTTAACCTCAAAAGTTAAAGAGAGAATTAAAATCACGTTGATTTTCTTGGGTCTTATTTTTTTTCTTTCTTTTCATGCCGATTAACCTCTTGAAACACCCGCAAGCACCCATTTATATCAAACACCTAGCATAAAATCATTTAAACGATCAATATTACCCATCTATAAAGTTTTTCAATCAAGAACATGAGGATTCACAAAAGTAATCAATTTGTAATAACAAAAGATATCATAAAAAGAGGGATTTTGAGTACAAGAAATTGAACTGACGAATATCATGATGACTCAATTAAAAACAGATAATAAGAAGAGGGTTTTGAGTATAAGAGGGTTTAGTTTTACATAAACAAAAAGTTGAAGAGGGTATGGAAAAAGCATATGCGCAGTAATTGTAGAGGTACTTTTTTCAATACAATTGAAAAACAAATAGGCCCCTTAAATTTCATTCGGTGAGTGGCGGAACTGTAGGTGTCCTGAGCCACTACACGATTTCGTCTTCAAAGAGTAAAATAAATTTTCTTTTATATTATTCTTCAACTACAAAAATTATTATACGACTGCTATTAGATCCAACATGAATAAATATGGTGCTTTGGTGCACAAACTTATAAAATATAAGCCCAAATTTTATAAAAGTTGAAACCAATTTAGTTTATTTCAATAACCCATACAAAAATTATTACGCAACTACTGTTAGATCAGACATAAAATAAATATGGTGCATTGGTGCACAAAACTTATAAAATATAAGCCCAAAATGTATAAAGGTTTAAACCAATTTAATATATTTTCAATAACCCATTACAAATAAGCAAGCCCAACCAATTACCAAATGTTCACACTCCACAACCCATTCTTTGTTTGTGTGTATACCGCACTACATAAGAAATAATATATATATATATATATATATATATATATATATATATATATATATATATATATATATATATATATATATATATATATATAAAAAGTAGCATGCGAAAATACAAATAAGTTGCGAAAATGAAAAGAACCAACCAAAACAAGACACGTGTAATTTTAGAGTAAAAATAATTGCTAAATTATGTTAATATTAAAGATGACACGTAAGGGTAAATTTGGAATTATGCATATGATATTGGTTTTATGGATGAGTATAACCGTCATGAACCTCTTCTATCTTCTCTCTATCGGCCTTTATAACCATCATCGCTCTTTATATCCGGGCATCATGAAGCAAAGGGCATAATTTGTAGCCCCCAATGAATCCGTTGCTCCGAACAACCACTTCTACCCCCTTTTTCATCTTTTCCTACTTGCAATTCATCAAGAAATCGGATTCCTCATTTCCTTTTTCATCACCGGTTAATAGCTACCTGACCGGCAGTCTGAAACGGCCTACACCTTCATCAGGGTCGATCTAAGCACTAAAATTGTTGCATTCGACTGAATTTAATGATAACAAGGTCGATTTTCCATGAAGAGGGGCGATTTTACGTTTAGAATAAACCTTTCGGACTTCATCGACCATAGCTTGACTCACTAGTTGCTGCCCCACCTCTTATACCACAATCTCCCCCCAACTCGTCCATTGCCTAGTCGTCCCTTCATATGCATTTGTTCTATATAGAATTTTGATGTTTTAGAGTGATGAACTTCTTTTACTTGTTGGTGGAGTTGTCAATTTTGGTTTTTTAGGTTTTGTGATTTTGTGTGTATCTACACGTGAAGGTATCACTAATTTTGGTTGGTTGTAAGCTTGACTTACTTGATGAAGACTACCACATGAGTCAAGTACATGTGATGGCTCCATTAAATGGAATAAGAAGGTTGAAGTGGCAGATTTGGGTCCTTGTTCTTGGTTTAGGGTTGAATGTTCTGATGGAAAAGTCAGCCAGACTAAACCATCTTCATTGTAGGTTTCTATTCCTATACATTTATAATTTCTCCTGAAGTTGTAGAGGTATTGATTTCTTACATTTTCAATTCCTTTAAGATGGTCCTACATGTGTTTGATGAAATTCCCGAAACAAACAATATTAATTCTTTAGGAAACAAATTATGCTTTCTTTGTCGTGAAAAGTTCCTTTTTAATGTGGACCTATTATTAGTCCATCAATAAGGCTAACTACAGGTTATGCAATGGATTTAGTCATTTCAGGTTCAAGTGAAATACAAATTCAGGGACAACTGAAACTTTTTATGAGAGAATGTTGGGGCATTCTAGACCTCATGCTCAAGTTGCGAGTTTGCTGGTGCAGGACCATTCTCCTGTTGATCTATTGCGTTCTTGGAAAGATGAAATACACTTCCAGTCCAGATAAGCTCTGTAATCAAGTAAAGTATGAGACTGTCAGTATGTTTTTTTGCTATGATGTTGATTCTTACTTTGACCAATATTGTATATTTGTATTTGGACAATAATCATGATAGGGTCCCTAATACCAACGTGATGTGGTTCGTTGAAAGATGGAACACTTCTGGTTCATGTAAGTTCTGCATCAATGAAGCAATTGCTTCCGGTGATTTTACATCGATGAACCGACCACCTTCTCATATACATCAACTGAAAGAGGTTAGTAGGAGTGTTTCGACAAGGGTGGATGTGGATTCTTACTTTGACCAATATTGTGTCAGAGGTGGTGGTAGTGGTGGTGGCAGTGACAGTTATAGTGGTGGGGATGGTGGCGGAGGAGAAAGGAACGGGCGGCGCTGTATAATCATTTATGATTATACCAGGCCTACCGCGCCGGTACGCCGGAGGGTTACAGCGGCAGATGTGAAATACGTGGCAGAGGTTGAATCTCAAGATCTCTATTTTATTTTTAATCTCAACGAAACCTATATATATATATATATATATATATATATATATATATATATATGTTCAACTGTTTCCAATAAATATTTTGTCCATGGATCCACCAATCACAATTTAGCAAATAATTAATTATTTTATTAAATATGTAAGGGTAATTATGTAATCTTTCATTTTAATCTTATTTTTTAATTTATTTATTCTGATTGTTATCCCTTTATATTAGGCAATGATTTATGACTGATTTATTTATTATTAATTTAATTATCTCTATATATCCGATTGAAACGTCCACACACAGATCACAAATATCAGTTCCTTTCTTTGCTCATTAATTTTTTCTACAGAATCGATGGATGTTCATATTGAAAATCGGAATCAGGTATTCATTTTTGTTTTTTGATGTTTATATGTTTTTATCGTTTTTACATATACATATGTTATCCAATTTGTTAATCTTGCAGGATAATGAAGATCAAAATCCCGAAAAGGATCTGGGTAATGTCAATGATCCCAAGAATCTGGTGAACGCAGTTGTAAAGAAAAAAAGAAAATGTAAAATATGCTTTCGACTTGGTCATGATAGCAGGAACTGTCCTTTTGGATTGAAGATAGTATAGCAGTACAACAAATTCATCAAATTAGACGTTTTTAGATATTATTAAGTTTGATTTCAGTAAAATAAAAGTTTGGTTTGATGAACTATATGGTATTATTAAGTTTGATTTTAGTATAATAAAAGTATGGTTTGATGAATTTTACGTGTTTTTCTTGTATATTTATGTTTACAGCCAATAAAGTGTTAATGTTAGTTCATATTCGTAGAATCATCCAGTTATCATTCCAACAGAATGTCAAAAAAAATGTTTATTATATTTCATAAAAAATGTTTTACGGTTTCATAAAATGAAAATACATAATGTCAAAAAATGTGTGAAAAAATGTTTATATAATGACTTATATTGTAAACAGTATAAGAGTCTAAGTCATATTCTTATAACATTCTTATGGAATGATTTCGGGATAACACACAGTAAAAGTTTTTTAAGCCATGTTGCTATTTTATTCTCGTAGAATGATTTCCAGACAAAACATCGTGCAGAGTTTTAGTAGCCATATTGATATATCTTATAAGCCATATTTCTTATAACATTTTGATAGAATGATTTCGAGATAACACACAGTAAACAGTTTTTTAAGCCATATTGCTATATTATTCTCGTAGAACGATTTCCAGACAAAACACTGTGCAACGTTTTAGAAGTCATATTGATATATCATTCTGGTAGAATTATTTTGAGAATAAAACATTGTGCAGATTTTTTTAAAATAGTACATAATAATATTGTAAAATACTACCTCCGTCCCAAATTGATAGTCCACTTTTGAATTTTGAAGTTTTTTTTCTTAAACTTTGACCTTAAATATTTTTGTGTTTGATAGATAATACTTGATGCAAAATATATGAATGGATTGTATTTTAAATGTTTTTTCATTGTTATAAGTTTTATCAAGTGATATATAACACAAATAAAAATATTTAAGGTCAAAGTTGAAGAAAAAAGACTTCAAAAGTCAAAAGTGGACTATCAATTTGGGACGGAGGGAGTAATTAATTTAATGTAATGTTGAAATGTTTTATATTAAGAATATGAATACTTTTATCTTTAGCATGTTTTAAAAAAGAATCAAATAGATATCATTTTTTTTATCAATGATCCCTAATATCACGCCTTTTAAGTTGCATATAATCCGTTTTCATCCCTATCTCTTTTCTATGTCAGTTTATAATATTTTATTATATTCAACTTCCAAAGCATATAGAAACACGATCGAATATTCTTAGGTAGGACGATCAAGTATCAGATGTTAATTATCATATTTACAAGGAACATTATTTCACCAGTGATGATGAAGATGAACTTGAAGATTTTGATTTTCCTGATAATAATACACTATATAATGGCGGATTTCAAATTTGAATTTTTGTTTAAATTTTCATTGTCTTTCAGATTGTATCTTGTAACAAACATGTTTAATATTATATGTTAATAATTTCATTGATGAACATACAGAGGACGCAGAACATGCAGAAGACAAAATTTAGTTCATTGATGAAGATACAGAGGTTAATAATGATTTCAGTGAAGGTAACAACATCAAACAAAAATATTTAAGAATAATAAATTAAATTCAAAATAATGAAATTCTTACAGAATAGTAAGATTCTTCCAGAATAATATATATATATATATATATATATATATATATATATATATATATATATATATAATTCTTACAGCATAATATTTTTGTCATTTTTTATATTCCTTAACATTTTTTGTTTATTTCGTATGTAAATTGTTAATCATGTATTTGTTATGTTAATACAGGACAACCACATGTTACACATGTAACACCTGTTCCAGGTATTAATTGATTTAGTTAATTTCAAGGCGTTTAGGGCATGGACTCGACAAGTTGGGAGTCCAACTCGTCGAGTAGGGTCATTTAATCATGGACACGGATCGGGACCAACTCGGCGAGTCGGAAGGCCCGACTCGACGAGTTGGAGCTGTAAAGAGAAAACCCTAATTTCGGGGTTTGCCCCCTATATAAAGATCATTAATTGCCCTTGTGGCCTCCTCTAACACCTTATCTCCCTACAGAAAGCAGTTTTCAGCTGTAAACACCCTTGAGTGAGAGAAAGAACCTTTGTGAGCATTTTTGGAGGATTTGTGGAGGTTGAAGGAGAAGGAAACAGGAGAGGAGCAGTAGATCCAACATCTACATCATATTGGCCATCATTCTAAGGTAAAAAGTCATGACATTGACCTTTAGTTGTTTAGATCCCCTTTCTTGGAAGTAAATGACCATTTTTGGGAAGAAATGGAGTCAAGCTTGAATCTGGACTTATGGTCCCATATCTGGACCTCTTTAGGTCCCCAATGGTATAAAGTTGCTCCCTTTATGTAGTTTAGCCCCTTCCATGCACAAGAACCTTGTTTGAAGTCTAGTTTTGGAGATTTAGCATTAGAGGACCATGCATGCACGTAAAGTTTGCAACTTTACGTGGTATCTTCACTAGGATAAGTTGGATCTGAAGTTTGGGACCTTAGATCCCTCTGGAACGGCTGATCTTGGGCTTGGCTGAAGGAACTCGCCGAGTCCCTTGGCTGACTCGGCTAGTCGAGTAGGGTTTACTCGTTTTCGGCTCGGGGTTTTCGGGTGGCATGAGTTTTCTGTTCAGGGGTTTCCGGCCGTATAGGTTTTCGGCCTGCGGAGGGTTTTCGGTCAAGGGGTTTTCGGACAGGAGTTTGCGGCCGCGAACATCAAGGAACTCGATGAATCACTCAAGTGACCCAGCGAGTTGACGAGTTAAGCAAGGAACTCGACGAGTGGCTGGTTATACTCGACGAGTCGAGGTCAACATGGACTGTGGACCTTGACCTTGACCTTGACTTTGACCAGGGTTGATCTGAGAGTATTTATGGATGGTGTTAAGTTAATCACTTGATGATTATAGGCAGTTGAGAAGGAGCAGCGTGTGGGATATATTTGACTTCAGTTTACCAGTTCAGCATTCGAGAGGTGAGTCTTCTCACCATACCAATGGGTCAAAGGGACCAAGGCCGGCCCATTATATGTGGTTATGTGTGTATTGCATGGAAGACCTCGGGGGTAACCCGTGGCGATTGGATATAAGACCATGTGGGGTAGCCCATGGCATTCTCAAGTAAAGACCATGTGGGGTAGCCCATGACATTCCCAGGTAAAGACCATGTGGGGTAGCCCATGACATTATGGTGTAAGACCCTAGGGGGGGGGGCACGGCATCCTTGTAGGTTTATGTATGTGTTATGTGTATATGCTTCTATGATTTATGATATGTTGTCTGATTATGTACGTTGTTTCATGAAAGACCCCAGGGGTAGCCCGTGGCAATTGGATGTAAGACCATGTAGGGTAGCCCATGGCATTCCTATGTAAAGACCATGTGCGGTAGCCCATGAAACTATGGTATAAGACCCTAGGGGGAGCCCACGGCATCCTTACAGGCTTATGTATGCATGGTTGATGTGATATAGGTAGCTTTTATATCTAACATGATATGTGTTATATGGATTGTGTGTGGTATGCTATGGGGAACTCACTAAGCATTTAGCTTACAAGTTGTGGATTTGTTTCAGGTACTTTAGATCCTAAGGGCAAAGGCAAGACGTGATGGTGTGGCGTGCACTCTCTCCTAGGCATTTTTATGGACACTCTGATAGTTGGAATACAAGTTGTATTTGATATATGTTTTGAAAACAATTATGATTGGGTTTCTTAAATTATGGAAATGTGTTTGCTTATTCAAAAATGAAAATTTTATTTGAAAAATTGGGTCGTTACAAGTTGGTATCAGAGCCTTGGTTTGAGGGATTCGGGCACACTCTCGGGTGTGTCAGGACTCAAACTAAGGAAATGGTAAAAAAAGTTGTTTTCAAAAAATAACCTAAAAGGTTTTTGAAAGAAAGGAAAAGATGAGAGTGCAACGCGCGTGATCAGCCGAGCCAAGTAAGTAGTTCCCCAATATGTTAGCCATGTTATACTGGTATTTGAGCTTTGTTGATCATATGGAATTGCTATGTGTATGCTTTTAAAGTTGTATACGGTTAGGAGCTTATAGCCTCAGAATGATTGATTTGGCCTTATTTCCTGTTCCTTTTTTGATTGTGGTCCTAGGGTAGAATCATTTATTCAAAAGTCTATTTGATCCTTTTATGTGTACAGTTTGCATGCATAAAGGCAACCTGTTATGATTGGTTTGATCGATATGAGTAGGACAAATCTTAGGACAACCTGAGATTGATGTATGCGGTAGTTTGTGGATATGGTTTAGTTTTGGGACGAATTGGAGTTCTCAGGTAGAGCATTGGGGAAAGGTACAGGTAGGTGTGGAAGGTAGTATTGGGCCCGTACTACTGAAAGCACAGGACCTGTACCCAAACTAGTGTTAGATCTGATGACTTCAAGGAGGATCGATGTGGGAAGATCCCTTATATGGAAATCATGATCGTCATGGTTTATGACATTACAGTTCAGCATGGTGGTGACACGATTTGGATCAGGGGGATCAGGATCGGGATCTAGATCCGGGGCAGGATCAGGCGACACTACCGAAGTCATAGATGAGAGGCTGCGCGAGCTTATTGCAGTCGAGGTTACCAGGGGCATCCTTGACGCTACCCCAATCATTTTTGGGATGGTCAAGGAGGGAATGATGGAGATCATGGAGGAGAGACTCAGGTCATTCAGGGCTGAGATCGCTGCGGTTCAGGTTGGGGCCTGGACTCCCTCATTCCAGGAGTTCAAGGCTTGTGGGGCACCGGAGTTTTTCGGGGTCAAGGACCCCATTGTTAGCCGACGCTGGGTGGCGGATATCGAGAACGCCCAACGCACAAGTTCTTGCCCGGATGCGGTAAAGGTGGGATTTGCTTCTTGTATGCTGAGAGACACGGCTCGGGATTGGTGGGGCGTGGTTACGAGTCAAGTGGGACCAGCCGGTGTGGCTGAGATGACCTGGGTCGAGTTTGTTCGACGATTTGATTTGG